CATTCACCCTACTATATGGCAACAGACCTGAGCTGGCACTGTCTCAGTCACATATGGCTGGGAGTAGAGGATTAAACCGTAACATTAAACATAAAGTATTCTTTAACAAAGCAGCACAATCACTGCTTTCTGGATCTGGTGTATTTGATTACCATACCAGCAGTTGCCCAGAGCATTCTCTTACCACTGTTTTCAGATAACAGCTTAAGGAGGGACAGAATGTGGACAGACAGGACCTCAGGGTTGGAATATTATCCATCTGGTTGGTTTTTCCCCACAGACAAACTCTTCACTTCCAAAACGGAAGGAATTCCACTGGAATGTCCTCTTGTCTGGGTTTTACCCTTCAACAATTTCTTGCATAGAGGTTTTGCCGCAAAGAGTGATTACCATGTGATGTCTGTTATTTCTAATGTTGTATTGTGGATGTGTTTTATGTGTGGCAAACCAGGGCCACTCTACACCGTGAGAAATCCTCACATGAACTCTTTAAGTAGACCAGTGGAGGTAGCTGTCAGGACTCCACTGTTGTTTAGCTGTGTGAGCTGTAATCAGACAGCTTGTAGGTGACTGATTTAAAAGCTTTATTAGAAGGTAAACAGTTGCAGGAAATACAGACTTCTCTAATGGCAAGGGGATCATATGATCCCTGTTCTAGTCCACTGAGAGGTTTTAAATATCCTTATCTACTATGCATTCATTCATTATTTAGGGGCTAATTTACTGCTGCATATTTAACTTCAAAGCCCATCTCTGTCTCAGCCACAGTGTTTGGATGAATACATTTAGTGTGTAATCAGATATTCTGGCAATTTATTTTGCATTAATGTTGTGGAGTGATATGTTGTTTCCCAAGAGGTAAATAAGCTGCACTGATCGATATATTGCTTCACCCAGAAAAGGTGGAGTAATGTTTGTGGTTAAAATGTAAAAAGAATTTCATCTTGCTGCCTTGATGTTTACTTTATGACTTGAGTAAACAATTAGAGTAACAGTTATCAATTCATAATATTACATTTGCCAAAAACTGTAATAGAAACTTTAGCTTTATAAACTTTAGCATAATAGTAAGTAGGTTGAGGTTTTTGATCTCAGTCGATAATAATATTATATTGGTAAATGTGTCATATTCACTTGCTCTAAGTTAATTCTCAGCATATGGTAAAAGACAGTGGGATCTGCACCAACTGTGAATAGTGTTAACATTGTTACGGCAAAATTGTTCCATTTTAGAAGACACAGATCCCCTCGCATCACTATAATTACTTTTTATTAGTAGCATTTGGACAGAGAGCTGACAGTGTTATTTTACTTTGTTTCCAAAAGTCGTTTGATGTGGAAAGTGAAACAACTTACCTTTCCATTAGTGCCAAAACATAAAGAGTACGAGTAGAGTTTGTCTGTATTTGACAGTGGTGTTTTTGTTTGCCATATAAAGATAGAGTTATAGCTAACAGAACAACTTAAACATGTAATGCTCCTTGTATATGCTTTATAGCTTGTGTTTAGTAAAAACACAAACAGGTGGTCTGGTGGCAGTCCTGTATTTTCCCTGTGAGACATGAACTCACACAGACTCACTGGGGAGTTACATGCTTGCTTAAATGTAAGGCTAAAAAGATGATTGACTGTTTCCAAGGAAAACAACTAATGTCTTGAGAGCTAGAAACAATTACCTATGTTGTTTTGCCAGGTCAGTGCCTTTGGTCAGGGAATAAAGACAAATAGCTGTGCTAATGCACTCTGTCCTGTGGAGATTGAGGGGTTTGATAATAATGTACTTTAGAAGGCACCTGGGTGTTTCTAAATGCCTTATTAGGGGTGGTCTCAGTGTAAGAATGTCCGTGGCCAGAACACTTCTTCATCGTCTGCCCCGTCCTCATGAGTGCTGACAGCTACTACTGGGAATATTGTGTCTTTTAAAAGTTCAAATGTCTGAAATAGCATCTAAATTTCTAGATGACGGGCTATCGTTGATTAACGGCTGCTGGTGAATGGCAGTTTTATGGTGCATACTGTATGTACTGTGCCTGTTTGATGTTGAGCCCAAATATGAGGAAGTTTAAATCTATAAGATGCCATATGTTAGGCTGAGACCAGAAGCCAGCAGCACTATTCTGCAAGCTTTAAATCTGTCACCACTGCCATTAAGATTGTTTCCCATCACCCCCTGCACCGTGTGCCGACCATGCTGCCAAAGATAACAGGGACTCTAGCCACCAGGAAACAGAGGTGTTAGCTTAACCCACATGGCACAAGCTGACCGATTCTTTTTTTGACACCTCCCCCTCTCATTTTTTCATCTGTATTATTCATTTTTTTGTGGCAGCATATTCGGTATCTTTTCCTTCTGTTGTCATTATTTTCTCAACAGATGGAGTGTTAATGCTCATCTTCTAACACTTCTCCTTTGTTTGGAGCATATTCTGTACTGCATTACGCGAACACCACCGCTCACTCGGGTGAAATAGTGTCATTGCGCCCATGAAGACACCACCAGCACCATCAGTGTCGCTTACAAAATGTGCAAAGGCTGCACAGATTGAAACTTTTACACTCTCTGTGCTGATTGCCCAGCAGTCACACACAGCACTACATCTGTATTTCTAGCCCCGAAGGTGGGAAGGTGTCTCAATTTGTCATCTTAATTAAACAGCACTCTGTTTATCACAGTCTGATCTTCCCCTGTTTAGAGCTATGTGGCACTTGGATGGGTGCCACTCTGCCCTAATTCTCTGTAATGAACTCAGATGTCAAACACCAGATGAAGAAACTGGAGAGGGAAAATAAATGAGGTGAGATGGGCAGTACTTTAACAGCTTCTATCTGTCTGCCAACATGCCACTGTAGATCTTATCATGTATTGCAAGTCTGTGTGCATAGGCATGAATGAATAGATGTGCTGAGGTCACCTGAGATTATAATTTAGAACCTGTAGTTTTCTAGGTGCTGCATGGACAATATTTTGCCCAAATGGTGATGCGTCTTCTCTTGTCTGTGTGTCCAAATTTTCCACCTGGAAGCATCATGCTTGGTTTTTGTAAGTGTGATACGAGATTGTGTTTGCCGCAGCAGATTTATTCATTTAGGTTGACGTTATTTATATTGTCACAAGGCAGCTTGATGTGTGTTATCTGAGATGAAGGGTGAAAGGAAAGCAATGAGGCAGATGCAGCAATAAGGCCTGAGGGGAGGGGGCCCATTCTTTAATGCATTCATTAAGTTCTTCATTGATTTTCCGGTTAATTAGTAGCTAGAAGGCTGTGGGATGTGCAGGAATGTCAGCCAAGTAAAAACACGGTATGATTCACCACTGCTCCTGTGATGGCACACATGTATACTATTAATATAACTGAGCTAATTACCTCTCTAAATCAGAAACACTTTGTTAAGAAAGTAGTTAGAATGCTGATCCATAGATACTTATACATAACTAGATACTGATTGTTTGCCATGCTGTCTTGCTTTCAAGGTGTCCATTTAACATCGATAAGGTTGATAAAACACTGAAGAACATCTGGAGTTATACAGGCACAGCTCATGCTTAGCTCCTGACATGTTTCTTAACTTAAAACATTATCCAAAAGAAAAGAAACTCCTGTGCGCAAGCTCATATTTTCAGCTGCATGTCCTACAAAACGAATGTGCATATAATTACACACATCACAGGATCTCAAAGCTATTAAGAATCAGCATCAGTGAAAAGAGCAACACCTGCCACTTTTTAAGCCACAAATGTATTTAAACGGACAACATTTCTTTGAAAGGCTGCATCCATTTGAATGTTTCTAATGTTACCATTACCTTCAGAATGTAACAGAAATATGTTTCTGCCTCTGTGACATGACTCTTTTCTATATGGAATTCCTACACATTGCCCAAGTTCTCCTTGCTTACTAGTGACAAAAGCCACTGAGTGTTCCCATGACTGTTCACAGCTCACTTTTCACAGAGTTTAAACTAATGCCTGCTACGGGCCTCTTTAATGCACTGTGAAGTCCTAGAGAGGACATGGCCCTTTTTTTTTTACAGACCATAAAAGAAGAACTGACAGGGTCATCAGCCAGTACTAAAACTATTGGTAATTATCATTTAAGTAAAAAAATGAATGTGTTATCCATGTGAAAAGAAGATGAAAGAACTGAAAGAGGCATGGCCAGAGGAAAGGTAGTAGAATGTGACTGTTTTGTTTGCCCGACCTTTGTTTTGGGCAAACAGATTTAAAAGCAACGCAATAGGAAAGCCATTGACGGGCAACAGCTGATGTAGGATGGATAAAAAGAGGGGACATGCCTGAAGAGCTCCATGGTGAAACAGATGAATGGCCACAGAAATGTGTGTACATATCCTGTGTGTGAAGCTGGATGAGACTGCACACACATACATGTACCTATGATTGCTCCTCCCTAGCTTGACTCTTTACACTGGGTTTCCTCCAGGTTTGCAGAAAAGGACAGAGCAAAAGCAGAACAAGACCACTCCACACACCATGAAGAAAAAGGACTTGAGTAATCAGAGTCTGAGTGAAGCTGGGAGACTCTACTGCATGTCTGGCAGTAATTATTATGGCGAATGGAAGAGGATTAAGGTACTATCTCATCCAGCGGTCCATTTGGTGGGATTGTTATTGTTGGCCAACCTCCCCTTTGGAGCAAACATCAAACAGAGTGTACCCAGAGTGAAACTTAGCCACAGAGGTAAGAAGTGAAGTATTGTTGATTTGTTTCATTTTATTGTGACATATTTACATTTACTTTGCTATGTTGGTAGAATTTTGTATTTAAGCCTGTCTGAAAGCAAAATAAAGTTTGGTTAATTTGAGGTCATTTATATGTTTTATCTTATCACATGTTAAGAATGTTTGTCTTCAGTGCGCTTGCATCTAGCTGAATTTATAGCTCTAAACCAGGAAAATGACTCTGTTGACTCACATATATAAAATGATTCCCTATTTTTCATCCATTTTAGCATCTTCTATACTAGGTATACCTGTGTCTCTGTGAGGTTCTGCCTCCACTTTTTCTCTTCCGACACTGTGCACACAGCCAAGAGGAAAAGTGAACAGAGAGATTAGCACACTCAGTTGCACAGTTAATGTCAACGGCCTTTGAAAAAATAGCTGTAAAGTAGAGTGAGAGACTTTAAGACTCACTTACTGATTTATTTTTGTACGTTATAATTCTCTATTTGCCACTTTTTATGATGCTTTTCATTTAAAAAACATTTGTAAATCATGAAATCTCTTCATCATTATTATAATAACCTGAAATCAGGTTTATATTTTGATTATTTATGATGATGATGACAAAATGGCAGGCGACTGTTTTAGATTAAATACACTGTTGTTGCAGTCCAGTCCAAGACAAAGGTTCACATGTTGAACATATATTTTATGTTGATGCTCCTGGTCTGTAGGGGCATGTTTATATTTGCATCAACTCAGTCTGCTTGCATTGTGCCATCAAGGGAAAGCTACTGTAACTTATTGCTCCCCTTAAGACCAATTGTGAACTCCAGGGTCTACTTTAGGTAAAAGTCTCCATCCCTCATGCCATGTATCATCTCCAAGAAACCACACATATGAACTTAAGTCTTGCTCCATAAATCTGAATCCCCACTGTGACCTAAAAGTAAACTCATTCTGACTTCAACCTCCAAAAGCTGTCTTCTTGTCAAAGGCTTCCAAACCCCAGTGTGGCTGGAAGTAGTTAACACATATATGTCCTGAGTGTCCAACATAAATATATTTAAGTAGCAGGAGGGATAATGATTGCTAGGGAATCATGTTTGCTCAGCAGTTATAATATGTAGTTTATCTTATTGCATACTTGTTCCAAACTAACCGGCTGATAAATTGGAGTAGTTCATTCATTTATTTATGATTGCAGTTTATTTTCTCTAGATATCTAAGACAGCATATTTAAACAAATAAATAATTAAAATTAACAAGGTGCACCCTGGCTTTAGTGCTGGCTATGTGCCCGGGTGACTACACATTGCTGTTCATTCAAGGGAAAGGCCCTTCGACTACTGTATGCAGTGGTTTCCTTTGAACCTCAGAACAACAGCAGTAGAAGAATGTCCATGTCCATGAATCAAAGAGAATCCATCAAAAGCAAAATCACCTCCAACCCCAGTGCAACACATCATACACACATCTTTCATGTCATCAGTGCGCACTCTTCAAAAGCAACAATCACTCTTCAAACATCACATCACCCTCCTGTGAAAGCACAGCTTCAGTGAATGAAGGATGAAATGATGAAAGTGAAATCATCCCTGATTGAGAGAACAACCTCCAAACTAACTGCCTTCCACTCCAAATCTGTGAACCCACCTAAGATGCCCATGTTTTCACTAGAGTCAAACCACAGACAGTGTGGCCTTCTGCAAAACAAAGCTAAATTATCAGGATTAAATTATGTTTAATATCAACCACACATGTTTTTGTTCTTAATGTGTTAAAGCATGAAGTTACACCACATTCCCTCTCTCCTTAGTTTTGTAACATGCATTCCTCAAAACGTACAGTTTGCAAGTCACAGTATTTGCTTTGTACCTGCAAATCAAAACACACTGCAGTAAATTAAATCAGGCTACCTGCACTCTACTATGGGCAGAACATCCTACACCCCATAGTAATGGCAGTGCAACATGCAGAGTATCAGTAGATTCCTTTTAATCAATATGATGCAAATCTATGCTTAAATAGTACGACTTGTCCCAGCACATATGGCAAATTATCTTTCCCAATGAATGCTTTTATTTCATCATGTCAGACCAGAGACCGCACCTTACTTATTCTGATTTATGTGGTCTACATAGCATTATAGAGCAAGTCTTTTTGATCATCTGACCCTAAACCTTTTGGCAACAAGTCAGCTTGGTGATGTGTTACGTACACCACCAGCAGAGGAGCTAATCAAGAATTGCTGAGGGGGCTAGGGGCTGTCTTCTTTGGAGAAGCATGTGGAATGTTACGTTAAGCAGCAACAGCTAAGCGGGCTGTTTCAGTGGGCTCATAATGCTGTGTGTTTATAGAACAGATTAGCATTGTCCAAGGGCTAGCAGACCTAATCTAGCAGGGCATGTGAGTGTGCACTGCAAGTGAGTTTGTGTGTAGGAGGAGGGATTAAGCAGGACTGTGTGGTGTGGAGGGCTACTAGACAATCAAATATTGAAGGTTGGTAACCTTTCCAGTCCTTCACACCAAGAGGGTAATCACAATGTCATTCTTTTCAGAGTGACTCCCACAGGACTCCTCCACAATGGGCCAGTGTTTATTCAACGCATGTTGCAATACTGCTGCGCTGAACAGAGCATGGTGATAGAAGAGATTTCCTCACATCAAGGAAATGAATGACACAGTACTGAGCTGAGAACCTAGTCTGTATTCAGCTCTCACAAAATGCTCTTTATTATGGAGCTTGGAAGTTTGACCAACCTTTACAAAATAAAACACCCTATATGCAGTATAGTTTAACTCTTTTTATAAAATGTTTCCACTAGACGTCAACAGCAAACTATACCATCATCTAGGTAACAGGAATTCCACATGCTCTCATCACAATCTAATTTAATATTACCCATGACAGGCATAAGCTCCTGCCATGGCTCTATGAAGATGTCAGTCATCTGCTAATGAGGTCCAGTCAGAAACATACTGGTAGACAGGCAATTTTAGAATAAATAAACTCCCGTCTCATTTTCAACAGCTGGATGAATTGAGAGGTATCTTCACGGTTAAAGAAGCAGCTTTGAAAACACCCTGATGAAGTTATCTTATAATACATCCAGTGAACTAATGTGCTGTTGAAATCTTTGCTGATGTATGTTTTCTCTGTCAGCATGTGCAACCAAGGTGTTGAGTCAGAGAGGATTAGGCAGTTTCCTACCAAGCCGAGACATGTTTTTGCTTTAGGAGAGGACACTCAGTGCTTGTCTTTTGGATTTTGGTGTATATAACAAGTTACTCTTGACAGTGTAATCCTGTTGAAATATTTTTTCCACCATACTGTAAATTAGATGCTAGATGATACATTTTAAAATGCGAGATATTTGCCATCACTGCACTGTGTGGATATATTAACCCCTTTGTTTGTCTCTGTCTGTCTCTCTGGGCTAGAACTGGTCCAAGCTGGCAGTGTCTCTCTGTTTTTGGGCCCCTCAGATGGCCTTCACTCCCACTCTCTGCTGTTGGATGAGGAGAGAGGTCATCTGCTGTTGGGTGCTAGGGATCACATCTATCTGTTTGACCTCGACAATTTGGCCAGAGCCCCCAGAAAGGTACATTATGCTGGGAAACACATATAATAGGAATGTGCACATTAGAAGGATATAGAACAATCGAAACTTAGAGTTCATTATAGCAAAACAAGGCTAGGAATAAATTTAGTGCAGTTAATAAAAAGCTGCTTTTGGATTTGTAGCTGTTCAGGCTATTTGCTATACTTGAGAGGTTGTTTATGTAGATTTAAAGTGCTTGCATCAGTTTAAAGAGTCGCTGCGGCGTCTGACAGGGGGCTAGTGCTGGAAGAAATCCAAGCATGAACAGGAGATGGAGTATCCACTCTACACACAGTCACTGACACAATCACAGACATATTAACTCATGCTTAGAGTCACTTGAGACATCCAGGTAACCTCAGCTATTTGCTGTGAACAGCTCATTATAATAGAGACATTCATTTAGCCTCAGGTCATGACACATATATGTCTTGCCAGTAAGTAGGACAGTATAAGGTATCATATTTCCATTACTATGTTGTCAAGCTAAAACACACTCAGCCTTGTCGTGTTTTAGAGATGAGCTCACCTCTCAATCAACAGCAGTCTTAAGCTGTCTTTCTGGTAAGGTCAGGGTCATAATGTTAAAGGGCACACACACACACACGCACACACACACACAATTGCACAAATAAAGTATATACAATTTACAAAGTTTGCACGCTCATGCTGAAATGTTTACACAAACATACAAATGCATTTGGACGGATGCCATATGTTAAAGTTTGCAGATGTGTATTTATGCAGCTGAGGTTGATCTGCAAGTGGGACGAATGTGTGTTTATTTGATCGTTATCTGGTTGTTTTAACGCTTATTCGTGCTCTCAAAGTGTTGCCTTTTTGTTGCCTCTCTGGTCATTGATACTGATGGCAGGGAGATATGCACCAGACGTCTAATCCTCTGAGCCTATTGGGACTAGCACTTGACAGTGAATATGATCTCCAGACACACACTTGGTGTGTATCAGTTAATGAAGAGGCATACCTACTATGGGCCCCTAGGGCATGAAAATACACCAAAGTATTCTGCTTGCAAGCATTCCAGTTGTTATTACCTTGATTTTCAGGAGATAGGTAGCTGTAATGTTAAGCTATTTAACACAGTCTTTAAATATTCCCATATGCTGTGGTAAAACTAGGCCACTGTGGGTTTAAAACCTAATTAATGCTCAGACAACACATCACATTGTAACACTGGTTTTCTGTACAAATTCCTTTGTGGCATGCAATAATTTGGAATTATGAGATGTTTTAATGCTTGTGTGGGTGTGCTTGTGTGGGTGTCCAGGCTCTGTTGATCCACGAATGCTTGTGTGGGTGTGCTTGTGTGGGTCCATGGAAGCCTGGAGATAGCTCTCCTTGGTAGAATTCAGGAGGGGTAACATACTAAGCACATAAGTCTGTTACAATATGTGAATATGGTAGGGTACATTCAAGTGGCACTGGATGCTATACATTATTTCCTGGTACCAGCACCTAGAAGAGTTAAACACTGAATAACTGATAGCAGTTGTTCAATAATCCCCACATGTGGCAGAGATTGGCCAGTAAGATTAATACAGCACAAAATGGAAAATCACTAAATATAAAGCACAAAATTGCAGAAGGAAAAAAATTAGAATAAATAAGGCAGAAGCAATATTACGCTAATAAAGAAGCCCTTCAGTTTGTTCTAGAGTTGATGGCCCTTGGTGGCATAGGCCTAGTTTCCTCTGGTTTTAGCCATAAAGAGCCTCAGGTGCACTAAGGCAGGTTCAGGGATCAAGAGGTTACCTTTTAAAGTGGCCTTTTACATCAAGACACTGTAATCCTAAGTGCACAGGTAACCAGTGTAGAAATGCTAAAACAGCAGAATCATGCACACTCCTGTCATATGTTGTGAGAAGTCTGGCTGTTGTGTTTTGAACCTTTTGCAGCTTGAACATGATGTAGTTTTAACTTAATTGTCTTAAACAAGAGCACTGCAATAGAAAAAAAATGTAAACGACAGTTCTTCATAGATTAAATAAGCACAAAAACTTGAATCATAGTGGTATATAAGTCTAAGATAACTGCACAAGGACTGATGTGTTGGGCATGTTATGAGCTGTAAAATGATTCTCCTTTTATTTCCTATTAGATTCACTGGTCTGCTTCCCGGGACAGAGTTGAAACGTGCAAACTGGCTGGCAAAAAGGCAAATGTAAGTACAAAAACATCATGTATATCTGTACACCATTACTGCACCAGTTGAGTCAGGCTTTCCATTATGATTCATTCTTGCTTGTTTTCTATTCCTGCTTGTCCCAGTTGGAGTGTGCTAACTTTGTCAGGGTGCTCCACAACTACAATCAAACACATGTCTACGCGTGTGGGACAGGAGCCTTCCACCCCAGCTGTGCTTTCATTGAAATCACTGGGTGCAGAGAGGTAAATTACAAATGACTGAGTGAACGTCTGCGAGAATAATTTCTGGAGTTCAGTAGTTCGATTAAAAATTTTTGAAAAAATTTTTTCTTTCCTTTTTGTCTTTCAGGATGGTGTGTTCCGATTGCTGTCTAGTACAGTGGAGTCTGGCAGGTTGAAATGTCCTTTTGATCCCTTGCAACCATTCGCTTCAGTCCTCACAGGTAAAATGAGCCATCAACTCTCTGGCATCATAATTTTATTTCTGCGTAGCACTATATTGCCAGAAATAAATGATATTTCTCCTCAAGTCTCCACTCAGTCATTTGAGTGATTTACAGTGGGTACGGAAAGTATTCAGACCCCCCTTAAATTTTTCACTCTTTGTTATATTGCAGCCATATGCTAAAATCATTTAAGATAATTTTTTTTTCTCATTAATGTACACACAGCACCCCATATTGACAGAAAAACACAGAATTTTTGACATTTTTGCAGATTTATTAAAAAAG